TGACTGTAGTGGCATACGAAACAGGGAGAACAATTCCTCCACACTAAGCCAGTTGGTGGTGGAGATGTTGCTCTGGTACAATGGAAAGGGAATATAACTCAAAGTATGTCACCTGGTAGGGGTGAGTGTCTGACACGACATCCAGGTGACGCACATACTCAAGTGGCAAGTAACCCAGGGACATTTCTGTTAATTTAGTTTGTTTAGGAACGAGTACAGTCAAAACAGTACTGATATAATTCCGAATTGGATATAGTGAGACCATGGTCTAAACTATATAGGGGCAGATCCAGCAAAATGTATTGGGAGGTCCAAGCTTCGCTTAAAATTTACGGAGCGTAAATCGCAGAGAAACTATGCATAATCCAGATGATATGAATGATCGTCACCCACCAACGCCCACCCACCCCCTCTGGATCCGCCACTGACACTATACTCCTGTTCCTATTAGTAGCAAAGCCAGTTTGCCTGCCAGACGACCCATCACTCCTGATGCAAGGTCACAGAGTTTAGTGCTGTTTCAATTACATGCCTAGAGACTCCAGCCATTGGCAGCTAAGGGAGGATTTTCAAGCCCAGTGTGTGACAATTTTATGGATGAATACAGTTCTTTGATTGATGTTGTAAGAGGCAACAATTTATGTCATAGTGGATTTTGTCAATCAATTGTTTCACAGCAAAAATCTCTCGCCTACTGCAAAGGATACACCTAGGACTTAGGAACTGATCAATAGGTAACATCATTGTCCGGATTTTATTTAAAAGAGCAACCAACCAAACTCTCCTTTAGAATGGAGCATCAGTCTAGTTCTATGTAAGACCTGTATGAGCAACTAAAATCTTTGGCTTCCAGTCAAAGGCAAAGCGATATAGCAGCCCTCACGTTTTCTGACAGCTACACTCTGGAGTAATCATGAAATTTTCTTGAAAACTGGGCGTAATTTCCTGGCAAGAAATCAAAAGGCAGGATTTGACACAACTTATTTTATTATTCACGCGGATCATGTGTAGTGAGAAATGAGAGGAATTAATGCTTGAGTCCTGCGTAGTCATTTACTATAGAACACCAGAAATCATGGGTGACATGTGGCGGTGAACCATTGCACAGCCAGTTTCATCATTACCCTGAAAGATGTTGTAGTGTATTTTTTTAATCCTATTGTTACGTGGAGGGATTCATAATTGTAATTATAATCTGCTCACTTTTATAAAAACATTTTCTCAGCCTGTACTTGAAAATTGTAGTACGAATTGGGGGGTTCTGATCTAAAAGGTGCATACCTACATTTTCCTGTTCCCAGACAGCCAGCCTCTCTTGAGCATACCATTTCTGCTAAGTACTTCTGTTTGGTCCCTTGTCGGCTGCTCTGATGTTCAAATATATACAAATCTGTAGTAGTTCAACCCCATGCCAGGTGCATGTTCATCTACCTCTACATAGCTGACTTGTTTCTCCATCACTAATCAGGCATCCACACAACTGTTTCTACTACCTGAATTTGAAGGACCTCTTCCCAGACAGCGCCGGCAACCATGGACTGGGTGCGATTGTTGCATGTAGAGAGTAACAGACTGGGTGCGATTGTTGCAGGAAGAGAGTAACAGACTGGGTGCGATTGTTGCAGGAAGAGAGTAACAGACTGGGTGCGATTGTTGCAGGAAGAAAGTGACAGACTGGGTGCGATTGTTGCATGTAGAGAGTAACAGAATGGGTGCGATTGTTGCAGGAAGAGAGTAACAGACTAGATGCGATTGTTGCAGGAAGAAAGTGACAGACTGGGTGCGATTGTTGCAGGAAGAGAGTAACAGACTGGGTGCGATTGTTGCAGGAAGAGAGTGACAGACTGGGTGCGATAGTTGCAGGAAGAGAGTAACAGACTGGGTGCGATTGTTGTAGAAAGAGAGTAACAGACTGGGTGTGATTGTTGCAGGAAGAGAGTAACAGACTGGGTGCGATTGTTGCAGGAAGAGAGTCACAGACTGGGTGTGATTGTTGCAGGAAGAGAGTAACAGACTAGATGCGATTGTTGCAGGAAGAGAGTAACAGACTGGGTGTGATTGTTGCAGGAAGAGAGTAACAGACTGGGTGCGATTGTTGCAGGAAGAGAGTAACAGACTGGGTGCGATTGTTCCAGGAAGAGAGTAACAGACTGGGTGCGATTGTTCCAGGAAGAGAGTCACAGACTGGGTGCGATTGTTCCAGGAAGAGAGAGACAAATTCACACAAATTGATTACTTAGACCTACCTGATGATGTTCGTTTCAGTATATTGTAAAATGAAATTTTAGCAGGATTGTTAATTGTCAGGTACCCGTCATATTATTCCTCAAGTTCATTTTACCATTTGACCTTAAATTAATTCCTTCAATTTGTTCTGCTTTAGTATACATGTATTTATCTCCATTACATGATTTACCTTATATACCAACCTCGTGGCAATAGCTGTAATTTTGGCATATGCGCTATAACTCGACGTTGTTCATTAAATGTATGAGAACCCTCCCCCCTCCATGCCAAAAAACTTGTATATCAATTTACCAACTACACATAATGAAAAAAGGGTGTTAATCAGCCAGGGTCTCAGATAGAGTCGACACAAATTCATTTTGTGCATCCATACTATATTGTGAATAAAATCGGTTAGCTCTAATTCACATGGCATTGAACCATCCATGAAGATAAATACCCCCGGTATTACTTTCGAGAAACTAAGGTTGTAATAATTAGGAAAGATTAAAGCGCGGTGGTCGTCGCGCAGCGCGTCTTCGAATTTTATGTAAATAAACAATGTATTTTACACGTGTTGTATACATCGCTATGAGTCCCATATCGAACAGGACGCTGCACGACGACTGTCGCCCTTTAAGACCCATGTTGTGTCAAGATGAAGACGACAGAAAACCTCAATAAAAATGAGAACCGAATGAGCGGTGCGTAGTAAACGCCACTAGAAACTACATGGCACAAGAAACTGAATCAGGTATATCCATGAGAAGCACAAGGAAAACACTATCAGCTGACATAATGTAAAAACCGAACACTAACGCAGATAAAAGAAGCTATGCCAGGCCGAAACCATGAGAAGGACAATAAACCAATAGTATACTAGTGTGACAGATTTATTTGAGTGTTATTAAACCTTCACATCAGAGGTACCAAGTTCGGGGAATTCTCCACCTTTCTATCAAAAAAAGACACACAGAGAATCAAATCGTGTCACATTTGGTCTCGGCCCACGTTGTAACTCTCCCAAGACCGTGTTAAGACTCTGTGTCTTGCGGTGAGCTTGCCACAACTAACTGAGATCAGCTTTATTCACTTTCCAACTCTTAGCCAATTACAGAGAAGTTTAAGAGCTCGAGGCGTGGCCTCCACACATTCAATTCGCATATAGCCAATCACGCAAAGTATTCAACACGCCATAATATCTGATTAATTGCCCCCCCCCCATAACTCTCATATTTATTGGCGCCACGTTGTCGACCATTATATCAGCCACTAATTCCCTAACATACGAATGAACCTGATCATGACAAGTTACGAGCAGGTGTGGATTATCCAGGGGTCATCAGTGAAAGTCGCTATAACTGCAAAAAGCAGCCTCATCTAAACACATGGAAATATATATCATGACACTAGTATTACCCTCTTAAGGTCACGAACACTGTCAGTGTATCACAGAGGTAAAACAGTATAACAAATGCTCTTGATATGGTAAACACATATAGAAATCAACGACGTTTAGTTAGTGAAACATAATGCATGCTTTATATTGTCGAGTTTATGAATGTTTTTTGGTGATTATGTTTTATGTGAACGCCCAGATTCTACGTTTTAAACTGATATTTAATAACTTTGCGAGGTCCTTTATGTTGGTAAATTTAAACATTTCTCAGTAGACGAAGTATTTTCAACACAGTTTTTTAAGGTTTTATTAATTTTTTGAGAAGTTTATGAGTGCGGAATATGAGAGGAAAGAACCTTGCTCCTCCTGATACTAGGAGATTTTCAGAGTTGTCTGTGTTGTTTTTAGAATAGTTCCTATATTTTGCGAGTTTAAATAACTATATGAATTTGAGAGGCTCTTTTGTAAAGTTTAAAAATCAGTCTGAAATAGAAGTGGCGTGCTCACGTACGTATTACTTGATAATCATAAATAAGTTTGTTCATAATCGACAGAATTATATGTAACCTTTTCAACTTAAGCTAGGGGTCAGCTCAAAATTTGTTAGAGAGTCGTGTGTTATTAATGCCATCGCGTTCGCACATTTGAATCACACAAGATTGCTGTATTGTTCAGGATCAAAAGCTTGCATGTCTAGGCTAGACATTATAAACGTATATTACAGGAATTTTGTATTAATTGTATTTATTTGTGGCAACTTTGCAAGGCTTTAACTGTGAGACACGTCCCTGGTAATCACATGATCGTGCCAACGACTGTAGCGGTTGGCTGATCGCATGTTTTCTGTGCCACTTTTTAGAGTTTGTAATGGAGGAGGAGAGAAGCTGGCAGCGAGGCGTTAACTCAGCTGACCGTTTGGATGAATAAAGCTGGACTTTCTGAAATGAACTAATGTGTATTCCTTTGGGTCGAATCTGGTATATCTACATGTAAGTGTTAATGGCCAAGCCAGACAAAGTTCCCCAAACACAACGTGAATAGGCAAAAAGGTAAAATTAGAGAATCGGGATCCTTTACCTCACTGGGAATAGAGAAATTAAACCTTTTGACAAAATGGAAATAGGCAAACCAACTAAATATTCGATATCACGATATTTATTGCTTAAACAACCTATACAGTACAATCATATAGTAAAATTAATATTAAAAATTGTCAAAAATACTTTGATCGTCCACAGCACAGATCTCAATGTGACATGCATCAACATATGTAAATATGATTTTTAAAAACACGAATGTCATGAAATGCGATATAAAATAAGAATATACGAAATTGTCAGTCAATGTGTTAAATATGTACCATAGAGGACGCTTTTAGCATGGCTTTTCAGAGTTTCTTTTCTGGAGACTTCTGACGAAAGCTACACCGTACCGAAGCGCCCTCAATGTTCTCTTCATTCAATTCGCCGTCAGCATCTCTACGTTCTATCAGTAGTTTACCCTATGTTATTATGTTTAATTTAATTTATTACTAGTATACAGTATAAGTCATATATACTTTGCATTGAAAGCAAAGAAATCTTACGTACACCATAATCTAATTTGCATAGGTTTGGTAACTCTGACCCTGTGAAAAAAAAATGTACAAACCGATATGATAAAATGATACCCCAGACCATTCGTCCCGGTGTTATCGCTATCGCCACACGAGACTCCAGCTTGTCTCCTATACAATTTTCCTTCCGCCCACTTAATTTTAATATTCATATGACCTTTGCACTGACATCGATAGCCAATCGCATTTGACCGCGGACGTCACTCTAAATAAACAACTGAATAAATTAATATACCATATTTGGAAGATAGCGGGTAAATTCAACGTTGTTGGTGTGTTCCTTCGGGTTCCGAAGTCGCACGAAACGAGTTCATGTTCCGTTATCTTTCGCAAGTAAAACAGGTCGATATGTATTAAACATGGCATTTGTTTTCTTGTTTTAACCCCCTTATTACGCAAGCTTCCGTCGAAGTGGTGTTTTTTTCGACGATTTGTGGCATGTTGCAAAACGAACGAAACATTGCGGCATTCTTAGCGGTGGATAAGGGATCGACTATGTCGTCACATTTATGTCTCATTTGAAAGAGAATAAACAACCGCTCAGAAAAATATGTTGCTAATATTTAAGTGCGGTGCCTTGAAATCGCCTGCCCG